TTGTTACAACACAGAAATTCTTTCTTTTTTGAGAACACAAAATTTTTTGTTGCCTACGCCAGTTTTCAGGCACTGAGAAAAGTTAGGCAGCAGCAGGTGACAAAATAACCCCATAATTTTTTTTTCCTGAAGTTCCTGGTGGTGGTCACTACTCAACGATAAAATTATGTCATTGGATCTTTCACCAGAAATAGTGCAGCCATTTCTGTGTTCTTATGGGGAGGTTTTCTTGTTTTTTTTGAAATATTCGAAACAGTTGAAAGTCTGTCACTAATTTCCATCAGGTAACCTATTGTCTTTCTTTCTGATACAACAGAAAGCCCTTCATTTAATTCTTCCTTATACACTGAAGACACCATAAAGGAATTTTTAAAATTATTTTTTTACCAATAATATCAGCCACAGAAGCCTCTTGATGTTTAGGGGCTATTTGCTCAGCACAGGCCTCAGTTACCTAATCAAGTTCTGAATATCTTTCTAGTGTCATACTAGGGCAATCCTGAGATATTTTAATGATCACTATTGTGTTTATAGTATACAACCATGGGATTTATCAAACTCTTCAAAGGCAGTTTCAGACAGGCTGAGCTTTGTATTTGTTTTTGTAATTTATCCCCCAAATGTATCTTGGTGTAATGGCACCAGGCATCAGATGAAGGCATCTGTCAAACTGTGAAGAACTCTGCCTGTGGTCAGACAGCCTCTCTTTTATGTCTGCCTATTTGATGAATATCTTTGACTTGCAATGTAATTCCATCAAAAAAAAAAAAAAAAAAAAAAAAAAAGAGAGACAGAGAAGAAAAAACGACCAATTTTGTGTTCTGAATTAAGATAATTTTCTGAATTTTAAAACCAACACCAATAAAACCTGCATGAGTGAGGTAGGTAACATAGGTAGTTAAGCTATACAAAACACAACAAAAATGAAAAATAACCCCTACAGCTGCTTAATTCTTTGACTCACTACGGGTCACAGTCTGCCATTGTAGATAAGTGTCACCATAGATTTTGATAAAAATAAATTAATAATTTCTATTTTGTTTTTTTAACCTGCTAACCAGGTTTTATAATTCAAACAATTATCTTTGTTTTAGAGATTTACCAGTTTCCTGATATCAGTAGTGTAGATTAGACGATGCAAGAAAGCATACTCACTACAATACATTCTTATCTTCTAGCTTGGATAAAGTCAAGGAAATTTATTTCCATTGCTTCAGAGATACCTTACCTGTCTTCAGAAATTTACCCACAGTTTTATTTCTTTGGACCTTTAAAATTCTGGAAATTGCTTTTTAGATTCATAGTAGGACCTCTTGTTGTTAAGCTGCCATTTTTTTGCTATGCTTCCAAATACTATAAGAAATTTAAACTTCACATCTATAGTGAAAATGTAGGGGAGGTGGGAGGGGCATTTTTTAAGAATAAATTTATAAAATATGTATTGGTTATAAGTGAACTTCCTCTGATGAAACGCAGGTCCATGGGACTGTATTAAAATTACTTAGAACTTCTGTTAGTAAATCTCCTGGAAATTAAATATCTGGGTTTATCTTCATCAATTTGCCCTAAGTAATTTAAAGAGGTAAAGCAGGAATATAACTGTACAGAGAGTGTAAATATAAGCTCATGTACCCAAAACTGTCCAGGATCAGGAATCTAAGATAATCTAAGCAGGGTACATAGCCAATCAGCATACATGTGGTTAGAACTACATAAATTAGATGAGAGGAAATTCTGAAAATGAGAAGATCCAGGACTACATTTCATTGATGATTATTTTGCGTAATATCTTTTTAATGTTAAAGGATCATAAACTACAAAATGTAATATATGAAACATTTTATGCAGAGCTAAACCCCAGAAATTTTGTATGATGAATGCCCAGATTAATAGATTAGAAAGTCATATTCCTTCTCACACTGGTGCTCATGCTCTCTCTATGGCTCAATGAACCTTTCATTCTTTGCTGCTTAATGACACATTCGCAGCAACATGGAGATTGTGTTCTGTGAAATCCCCTCATCATAGCTGGGTCACCAGCTGCAAGGCTGATAAGTATAGCAAATCTAAAAGTTAAACATGAGGCTACAGAGAGAGTGTAGCATTGTGAATTCACAAAGTAGCATTTTTTACAGTTTTTGGGCCAAATAAACTTGTGGATCAAGATACCAACATGATTTATTTCTGCACTATTTTCCCAGTAGAAATAATATGTTACTGCAAAAAGAGGATAAAAGAACTTTGTGGATGTTATTAGAAAAGCTGCTATAATATTGAGAATCTTCATTTACATTTCCGATTTACAAGGAACGACATAAGCTTTAGGTACCTCCTATTGCCAAACATCCAAAACTTACTTTTTGAAGTTGTAGAGTCCTCTCAGGACAATTGGGAACCTGGCCAAAATGTGACAAGTGATCTGATATAGGAATAATGTAGGGTTTATGTCCTTTGGAGTTTATTAATCAATTTTTCCAGTTAACGCCTAAGCACTCCTGTTAAAAGGTAGTTCCATAAATTTAGTCTTCTCCTACTTAAACACCTTTTTTATTTTCTGTCTAGAGTTTTTTCTTAACTCCTCTAAATATTTTTTTGTCCTCGCTAGTCTGGCCCTGTAAATAATTATTTTTATTTTGTTGTCGACCAATTTTTCCTGACTTCGCTTTGCAGCTAGTGGTTGTAGTTCTTAATTTCACTGTGCTTAAAAAGAATCCCTTGTAGAGTCTGAATCCCCCTGTTAAACCCCTCCCAGTTTTATGGAACACAATTATCAGAGGAAAATGAAGAGCAATACCTTGCTTTTACATATATGAAATCTTTCTGACAGGGAAATTATGCAATGTGTTGAGAAGCATGAGTATATGAAGTTATAGTACAAATGATGGTATGAAGGAAAACAAAGCTTTTATGACTGTATAATTAACAATTATTTTCTTTTTGTAGATCAATATTACTAATAATTCATCCTCATAAAAATAATTTCCCAATGCTTATAATAGGAAAAAAGGAAAGAATTTTAAAGGATGGATGGCTGTAATAATACATTTTCAAGACAATGCAAGCAGGACTTCCTGATTATGTATATGTACACCCATACAAAAATAGAGGAATTTGAAGAAAAAGTACTGAGAAGGAGAACAAATCTATGAGGTCAAGATAAAAGGAGATATTGCAACCCATGATAATAAGAATCAGTAAGAAAAATTAAGTTCCCAGAGATTAGGTAGAATGCTACAATAAGAAGAAAATTGAGAAAAGGAGGGAAACACAAAACAGCAGCATTTACTAAAAGGAAGAAAATTATCATATGAATGGAACAGAAAGCTGGAATTGAGAGTAGGATGAAATATGGGTAAAAGAAAGGACAAAAGTATACATAATAGAGTAAGTAGTAGGAAAGCATAGATATAATTTCTTCACAGGTCTGACATTTTCATTTGAGGATTCAAAACTGAATCTTGCACCATTAAGTATTAAATAATTCAATATCTCTGTTTAATAAATAAAGCCTCTCCTCCTATTAGAGAATGATTTTTGATCCTAAGAACCTTTTTATATTACTTAGTTTATGATCTGAAATACAGTGATCAGGGCTCAAGTGCCACTGTATTTCTTTTGGAAAGTTATGTGAATAGATCAGACAGGATTGGCAATGTACTGTATTGGTAGATAAAAAGTTACATGAATCAATATGAGGTAGAATGTATGGCTGCCTTTGGCAACCTCCTTTTCATTAATTTGCATCATAAATAATTACCCATTGTTTGACTCTATATTACTCTAGAGAAATGTTGAGACAACAAGAAAAGTATATTATGTGTCAAAAGTTAATTATATCCAAAGTTAAAATCTGCTGAACACAAGAACAATTTCTTGTTTAAATATTTTCTAGCATCTCTTATAAAAAAGAATTTTGACACTTCAGCCCTCAGCCAAAGTAGTTTAAGATAGATGTTAAAGAGAAATACATTCTCAGCAAAGTTTCTGCATTTAAACTGTCCACCACTGAAAGCCTGATAACAGTTATTCAAAATTTGTGCTCATTGGTGCACTCATGTCTAAAGTATTTGCCTCTCCAAGGAGTTTGAAATTGCTTAATGAAAATTCTAGCACATGCATTCTTTATGCTTCAGGAGTCTCTATTCAAACTTGACTTTGGCAGAATTTTCAGCCTATCTGTCATGCATCCCTCTTATATCTTCTTCAATATATTTTAGTGTATCTTCTCATAAAGCCTGTGTATTTTAAAGATATCATGATCCATCTTTTAAAAAGTCAGGGAATGGATTTAAAAACAGAGAATACATGATTCTCCCAGATTACACATGAAAACTGGGAAAACAAATTGATTGCATCTCAGTCAATCTGAAATGTCTACCCAGACAGTAGAGTGCAGCTGGATCTCACTCTAAGATAAATTCAAAAGAAATCTGTAATCTGGAGGTAAATTGAAGAAATATGAATTACACCAAGGTCCTATAACAGAGATTTATTTTATACCCCAGGTTAACATTTTGGACACCATTCCAAATATGTGTGATTCAAGAAAACTATTCAAACACATATGACTCAAGATAGCTGTTTTGCCTGAACAGGTATATTTCTTTCCACTGAAAATTTATTTTCTTATTGATCATATTGAACAGCATATAAGACTCACTTGTAGCTCATGATCTTATTCTACTTAAATCAAAGTGCTCTGCATGTGGACTTCTTTTTCTTTTTGAGAGAAAGAAGTTCATTCGTTGTTTCCAACACAAGATGATAAAAAAATCTTGAAAGTCTAAATTTTTAATGTTGTTATTTGTCATGCCATTATATTCTTGATAGTCTGACTTCAGAAAAGGAAAAATAACAAATAATAATATTTATCAGAGTCTTAAGATTCTTGTCCTTCGGTTCTACACGTGTGAAACTGTGTATGGGCAAGTTTAAAATATGCAAGCTGAACCCCTAATTGTGTTATCATATTCACTTAAAAGAATCACCTCTGCAACACATAAAAACAAACATGTTTATTTTTGCACAGCGACATTTTCAATATTAAATTTCTTAGAAACAGTTTGTGTCAAACAAAGTAAGGTTAAGAGTTTATAATTGTGCTCTATTTTCTTCACTTGCATTCTATACATACATGTCCAAGATAAAACGGAACCATGGTAAAAGCATAACATTCAGTAAACTGCTCTGCAAATATTGCAAAACTTAGGACAGCTTAATTTAATGTATTTACAGCCATATTTATACATTTTCTTAATGTATTTATTGTCTTACATTCCAAAACATTGTACAATTATTTTGCTCTGTTGTGCCTTTTCTCTTCCATACTAAGTAAACTCATATGTCAACATCCCAAGATATTTATTCAATACTGATTTTGTTTTCAGCTAAAACTCCAAAACTTCTGACTGGATCCATTTGATGCAAAAATTCGATAATACATCTGCAAACAGTTGCAAGCTCATATGACAGCTCTGGAAAGTTTATATTTGTGACATGTTGTTAACCACATCATTCCTGCTTTAACAGTGTTCCTCTTGCATTAAGACTCAGACCTCATTTTCCAGTCTCTCCCCCAAACCAAGCAGCCATAATCTGATATAAGCTCTTTTGGTATGCAAGGTGAAGGCAGAAGCATTTTAGTTAGAGAATCAGTCATGCATTAGCATAAGTCTGCTGACACTTTGTGTTTACTAGGCCATTCTAGAAAAATGAGGTTTTATTTCCCCAATTAATGATGACCTTTCATCTGTGCATAACAGTTACTTCTGTGTCAGCTTGGTAGCAGCTCTTCCTCTAATTCTAATTTAAAAAATAATCATAATGTATGACAATATAAATTATTGAATGTACACTGAAATGAAAAAGGACTTAGAACTTATCTGGTTTTGTTGTTGTTGTTGTTTATTTTTGTTGTTTTTTAGGAGGGAAGAGGGGAATGATAACAGCCAAGCAAGTTTGTCCTTTAAATTTTTTAAACCAAAATCTTGGTTTCATTTTCTTAATATATATTTTTAAGAACTCTGAGTCAGTTCCCTAAAGTCAACTAAACAGAGCCAAAGATATGTTAAGTACACGACATAGAGAATACATTTGTAAAGCTTGTGTGTTTTGTTATCTCATTCCAGCAGAATCCTGACATATTCCAGTCACATAAATATATGTTTCATAAAAATATCTTACATAAAATATAGCCACAATTTTGAAAAATGGAATAAACAAAAAAGCATCTGATATTAAAGAGTAAAGAATATGGTCTGTGATTTTAGAAGGTGCTAAACATTCACAGTTTATAATGAAATGAACAATAAATCCAGTGCTTATGCACTCTGTGAAGAACTGCAAATAACTGTGAACTTTCATACGAACAAGAAATTCACCTACATTAGCTGAACAATGGATCTTATTTCAAAAGTTGAATTTGATCACACAAAATATATCTCTTTAATTGTCTATATACATAGAGTTGTCAAAGAATATGTTGTATGGTATAAACTACTTGTGAGATAAATGATAATGTTGATAAATCTATAAACAAATCAAGCAGATTTACAATTTCAGACAGATCATACTATTAGCATTTTTCTACACTTCATTTTTTGTATTTCTACTAATTTAGGTGCCTTTCTACTAATTTAGGTGCCTAAATCTGTTTTTTTCTCATTGATACCTTTATAAACAAAAGAGGAAAACAGGTGGTTTTTCTGTATGCCTACAATTGGCTGGGATGACCCATGTGGTGGGAGGTGTCTGCCTTTCTTCAGTTTTTTTCTGCCCACACAAGTGCCTGGTATAATGATGCCCATTGATTATAGCAATCCTGTTTCAAAACAATCCTATTTCATGTTTTGAAAGTTTGTGAAGTTTAATTATATAGATATTTTTTGCAGGTTACTGTATTAAATTGCTCCCTTATCCCTCAAATATAAGATATCTCAAAATGTAGGTAACCAGGAGCTGAAGCTGCAATTTTCTGAACACTTTTTCTCCTAGGTTAACAAAGAGATACCTTCTGCTTCTTTTGCATATAATTTGAAAACTTCAAATTATCAACTCTCTGAATATCATAAGAGTGTTCGATTTCAGAACATGGAAATTGTTTTTGTTCAATGCCTATTTGAGTCTTGGAGTAATATTCTAAATTAAATTCCTGTCATATTTATTGGAAATAAATGTTTGTGGGGCCAGTTCCTCCTAGGCATTTATCAAAGGGTAGAGATGCATCTTATCCAACTTAAGTAATTCTGTCTGAACTAGTCATTTTAGGCACTTTTGCTGTCAATTGAGAGAAATGCATTTTCAAAGTGGGATTTATTTCACCTATTAATGAGATGACTCATGTCCTGGAAGTAGTGATTTTTCTACTCTGGCTATAAAGAATCCTTTGGATTTATAATTCTGATATGGACATTTATACAGTAGAACCCTCTTTATTACAAGATGGATATTTATTCATTCAGCCTGCTATAGCAAGTCTTTCTCTTTTACCTTTCAAGAGGAACAAATTACCATTTAAAATTACCTGATATCATAGAAAATATACAGATGTGCAAAAAAGAAAAATAAAGCACCCAAAAACCTAAGCTAAATAGTCTGTTTTCATAGTATGCCTATATGTGAGATTTTCCACTATGTGCCTGAAATGTTCCACCCAAACCTTTACAGAATTGCACTCAGAAACACTTTACTGTTAAATAGAAAAACAAACCCAAAAAGTTTACATTAGGTAATAGCAACTAATGTAAGTGATTTTTTCAATAACTGTTGAGTAAGGGTGATTTACTTCTGGCTTGCTTGTAGAACACATTTTTGATTGAAGCGATGCAAAAAAAGATAATTTTCCTTATAAAGAGGATCTCTAAAAGTTAGCATTTCCCATACATCCCAACATTAATTAATATTAATTAATATCACACCTATGTTTACTATTTGTATTATTCATTGGACAATCAAAGTTAATATTTTGAAGTTTTAGCTACCTAAAGTAAAATATTTTTAAATTCTGGCTGTCTTATCATGCAAGTGGGTTGTTAGAAATTTCAAATATCTAGTGGCACTGGGTGCATATGCATATATATATATATATATATACAGCCCAGTGTGGACAACTTAGTTTTGGGCATCTCACATGGTATCAGACACTTATGTGGGGGTGACTAGACTGAATGCTCATCTATTTAATGGAAACATCTCACCTTTGGAACATTATTTTTTCTTGGACGCCATCAAAGGCAGCCCTGTTCTAATGATACTTTTGTTGGGGACATTAGAAAGAGTTCACTAAAGATGTCACCAGACTTACCAACAACCTAGGCCACCTAAGTGAAGAATACTGAACATGAACCTGGTTCACAGACCTAATTCTGAGCAGTACTAGATTTCTGCAAGAGAGGATTTATCATCATCATTATTTTGATTTTTGTGCATTTTTTGATCATCACGGGAAATCTGGGAAAGTATGGGGTGATAGAAGTGTAAGTTGCTTATACCTCAGCTTTGACTACTTTTTCAACCCTTAGTGGGTGATGACTTTGGCAGCTGCATAGATTCCCCAAGGTGAATCTGTGAATAGCCAGTGACTCAAAGTGCTATTGTTCCCTGTCACTACAGTTCTTACCTGTGTTAGTAATTTTCTTTATGGTTTAATGTCTGACAGCTGTAGTCCTGAACATGGAATCAAACTTATGCTGATTTAACGATTTTCAGTGGTTTCTCTGTCCTGAAGTGTACCCAGTCCCCATGAACTATGAAGCAGAACTATAATGAGGGAATTTGCAATGAATTGCAAGGTTATGCCAATTTGAGCAGCTTTACACTGGATTTAGAATAATGCTGTAGAATAATTATTCTGCTGAATATTTTATGCATTCTCATTTAAGTTAGAACAGATATACTGCATGGATAATCTGTTTTTGAAGAAATATATCTGAAGTTACTTTAACATATTGAGATTCTGAGCTGGCAGTGAGCCTGCATTACCCAGTGTATGCATATTTTCTTGGAGCAGTAAATGCAAAAAATCCAATAATTTTATATTGTGAGAATTTAATGATGTAATATATTACTGCTATTCGATAAAAGTTACAAGAACTTTTATGAAGTCTTTGTGGAAATGCCTTCTCCATATATTCCTGATAAAATAACTAATGCAAATTCATAGATAACATAGGTCATAGGTCACATTTTTTTCCCCCAGCTCATTGTGGGCAAAATAATAAGGAAAGTTTTCCAGAATATAAATTCTCTTGTGGAAAAAGTGTATTTCATTCATAATCACAATGCACAGCATTTCTGGTGTTTGCTCATGGACATCAAGGTTTGAGTTATCAAAACTTGCATATCCTAAATGTATTTTGTGAGTTACTTTTATTGAAATAATAGAAAATATTTAAGACATAAACACATTTAAGGGAATTTATATGGGCCTTCTAAACATATTGAAACTATCTGAATAATATATAGAGATAAGATTATAGATATAATAAATATCTACTTCTAGATATATTTTAACTTAAGTAATTTTAAAATAATGGTCGACTGACCTGACAGCAGGTTTCTCTAGAAGAGAATGGTATCCAAGGAAATGATCCTTTGTCTATGCTAAAATGGTTCCCTTGCATCAATTAATGTTAGCTTAACAGAGGAAAATTTTTAATGAGGCAGGCAACTCCCTGAAAGCATCCTAATATTGTCTTAATAATTGGACAAGTTTCATATGAATAAAAAGTCTGTTCTATATGTAGAAGAATTTTTTTTAAATTTACTTCTGATTTTTAAACAATATCAGTATTTTGACTGCAAGAACATATATTAAAATAATTATTGAACAATTGTAAATAAAGCAAATGCAACAATAGTCATAGCTTATTTGTGACTTTGATAACAATGAAAGCTTTTCTATAAAATCAGATCACATAATGTCAATACTAAAGAGCTCCACTAAAGAATAGCTATAAATTGACATTTTTATGCGTAGATATACAAGGATCTCAACATAGTAGGAAATATCTACATTACAAGGAATTTGGTCATTGATTTCAGTAAAATTAATGTTTGTTGCAGCTCTGATTTCAATGTGATTTTTATACTTTGAAATCAAAGAAATTATGTGAGAGAAAAGACATCATGGTAGATGAACAAGGTCACCTGTTTTTTGAAAAGACCGTGACTTTCTAAATATGTAAACTTAATATTGTTTAGCACAATTAGTGCATTGGAAGTGATTTTAATTCTCATATATATATATATATATATATATATATATATATATATATATATATAAAATGGGTCTTAATGAACCAACTACAATTATATAGTACTTGGATTTAAATACATTCCCTTTCAGGAAAAGGTAAAAGTATTATTATTTTTAGTAAAAGTAAACATAATGGTAAAGAAAAAAAAAATCATAAATTCTCTGTAGAATAAACTTGTAGCACTTGTATAAATATGAAAGGCAATTTTGGTTCTTATTGTGGCTAGATTTTACATAATCAAAATAAAACAAATACTAATTTTATTGTTTCAGAATAAGAGGAGTAGAATAGACTGAAAAAATTCACATGAGAATCATTTTGGTAAAAGAAAAGTAAATTGAAAAAGTAAAAAAGGAAATTTAGAATCAAAAATGAAATGAGGATAAATGGAAGAAAATAATGATCAAGGCACTGAAATTTGGCACAGAACAAAATCAATAGGAATAATCCAACTTTGGAGATCTGTGTATAGGTAGAGCAATAATATTTCTATTATGTATTAATATAATGAAATCAAAAGAAAGTTCTAGGAATAGAATGAAAATTCAATTTCTAAGTTCTTTAGATATCTCTGTAGGAGTTCTAAATGCCAATATCTATATTTAATTACTGTTATAATTCTAGAAACTTCTTCATTTGGTCTCTGAAACTTGTGTTGATGTGAAGCACAATCTTTAGAGAGGTAACATTTTTTATTCAACAACTTGTTGTAGTTGGAAAAAAATTCACATGCTTGTGTGTGAAAGACTAATTGCAATTCAAAAGGCTGTGGAAAATTAATATTTAATTTTTTTCAGCTGATTCCAAATTAGGACAGAGAAATATTTAAAAGATTTAAATCCATATACTTAGGCTTCAGAATTGCAGTTCAGCTTACATCAGTAAACAAACACCTCCATGCATACTGATGCAGTTAGAAGGAAAGACACATTTTCAAATCAAATCTCCCAAGATGGAAGCTCTACGTATTTTTCAATCTCCAATGATTGCAGAGATTTCCACTAAGAAAACTCATTTATGTGCAACCAGAATTCCTTCTCAAAATTTTTAGTGACAGAGTATTGTGAAGTTTCTGCTTTTGGGCCATAAAATGTTTCTTATGGGATCAGCAAGGCTTTAGAGAAGTATATTTGGTGCCCTGTTCCCAGAAGCTGTGCATCCCTGAATAGCAGAATTTCATATTCCAGTAGTGGCAATAGCATCAAATCTACTGCCAAATCAAAAGCTCAAACTATCATTACTGGCAAAAATTATCAACCCTAAGGGGAAGCACAGATGACACTAGTATATTTACCATATGAAATTTATTAGATCAAATGGTCTAATTTTCCTTATTCCACTTGCATTTATTCTGATTTCCTGACTTGCAGTTATTCTCAGTCATAAGTGGAAAGTCATAAATTTTCAGCTCTAAGTAGGCAAAATTCTGTATGTACAAGCATCAGAAAGAAATAAAATTTAGTATTTTTCTCCCTCTTAAAATGTTAGAAGAGTCTCTATAGGCTGTTCTTGTCATGTTTCATCCATTAACATAATGCAGAATAAGGTGATCAATTTTCCAGCTTGTCATGAGCTTCCAACATGCAGTAGATGCATTAAACAATGAGGTTAGAGCCCACATGCTTTAATTGAATATAAGATTAAGAAATAATTAGGTAACTGTTTCTTTGACTCCCATATTTGCAACAAAGCCCCACTGCAGCCACAGGACTGCTTTATATTACTTGATTAAACACACAGGCTTCCCCCTCAAGAGATTCATTTGTAAGATGCATTAACACAGGTGAGGAGGTACAATCTGAAGTTACAAAAAAAAGACTACTTTTAGTTTTGTGTTTCTTCCTGCTCTAGAGTCACAGCTCAGTTGCTATGAATATCCAGACCATTTGACCTCTTCTTTTCAATAATATCAAACTGCTCATTTAAGTGAGAAGAACATAACCCATTTGAAGACAAGACTTGAACAGCAAAAAAAAAAAAAATATATATATATATTACTATCCACTTTTCTCTTTTAAAAAACACAGTTTAAAATTGATTAAATATTCTTTCATGTTTCTAAAATTCTCTTACAGCCATGAAAACTGTTCTCATATTCGTTTCCATTCTTTGTGTAGATTTCCCATGATCATCCAGTTCTCGAGGACACATTTACACCTGACACCTGAACTTACTACCCTACATTCACATATTTACACCTACAATACTCCAGAGGCTTTTTTATTGTTCACTGACTGTGAACAGTTTTATGATTTTATAGGGCATAAATACTTAATCTTTGTCACTTCCAAACTTCTTTGAGTCTGTGATCAACAGTGTATTCACTGTGTAGATTTTTGTTCTTGTGAAGTTATCATTCTCTTTGTCTCATAGAAAAATAATCCTTTCACAGTTAGTAAAATCCTAAGCAGAGCTGACAAAGTCATGGTTGTTTGATTACTACAACACAGGCACCAGCCCTTCCAATATTTAAGGAAGCCATCTGCAGAAAAACAGACACAAATTAACTGAATAGGAAAAACCATGCAAAAGATTGCCAAAGAGGAACAAGCCATGCAAAGATTATCAAAATGCTGTGTCAAAATTATTTTAAAATGGTCAAAACTAATGTGAGTATAAATTGCTAAAAATAAATAAAATCCACATTATGCTACTATTGTAATTTAAAATTGCTTACTCACACCTGAAATCTTTCATTTGAATGTGTGAGAACAGAAAGCAGGAATTAATTTTAGAGTTGTTATCAATTTTGTGAACCATTGATATGCAAGGGGTTTCTGTATTCTGTAGACTGTGGCTGATGCTTCCACTTTAGTCCTTGAGTCAAAGTGAAAACTACCAATACAGAAACGTGTGGTTCCATTATTCCTAAACAGGTTCAAGAGTCCTTTAGAATATGTTTGGAAATTTTAAACAATATTCAAGACAACACAAGGATTAAAACCTTTAGGGGATTGAATCTTGCTCAAACTATCACAGTAGAGTCAGTTTATATGTATGGAACAACACACTGTAATTGTTGCAACCGTCTAAATCACAATATTGTTTCAATTGTATAAATCACAACATTGTTTGCACGTCTCCAAACTACCTGTCCAAGCACATTTATTAATGGTTTTTAATGTGAACTGGTGGTTTTCCAAAAAGAGAATCTTCCCAAATTAATTTCGTTTCTCCTATAGAACAGCATAAAAATGCTCTTCTCAGTAATTAATAGTAGATTAAAAAAGATGGGCTTCTGCACTAACTTTAAAGTATATGTGTCTACATTTAAGTTTGTCAACAGAAGTTCCCCATTGCAATCATAAAAAGAAATAGGCACTCTTGAGTATAACACATCTCACCTATTTTAAATGCTTATTTTAGGATAAGATCATGATTCCGAAGTATGCACCTTGTACTATGCTTAAAGAAAGCTTAGAATGGCTAATTCATACACATATGTGCGTATATGTGTGTGTATTCACATGTGTCTATATAAAATAAACTTTATAATTACCTGAGTCCACTCATTAGTTTGTGGGTCGTATGCTTCCATAGTGTTCAGGTATGATTGACCATCATATCCACCTACTGCATATAATTTGTCACCAAGGAGACAAACACCAACAGCATCTCGAGGCATACTCAGTGGAGCCACCATTGTCCATGTATCAGTTTTTGGGTCATACCTGAACAAAGAAAAATGAAACTGGTTATATGGAGAGAAGACAAGTATCAATTCATGTTGATTTTCACTTGAATATAGTTGGGGGTTTTTTTTGGTTTTTTTTTTGTCCTGGGGGAAAAAACCAAACCTTTAGTATCCTATGCAAAAAAATTCTTCCTAACATCAAAAAGATATAGCTTTATTGTGCTCTCAACTCCATTCTCTAGATGTTGATTAGAAACTTTTGCTCAGCTAAACTTCTAGAATAAACTAAAATATTTGTAGGATAGTGTATAATCAAGAGGTCTGAGAAAGATATATGAGCAATATCTGAACGGATGGGTGTAAAATTTGTTTATATGTTATGTATACATTTAAAGTGGGATATCTCCTGCAGCACATCAAAAATATTATTAACATTATTTCTAAAATTAAATTTCACTATATTTTAATTTCTGAATTCATACTAATCAGTAAAAGCCGTACTATGTATTCTGATGCTTAAGTGCATTATAGTTAGTATCTCCTCCTGATATTTGCTCAAGTAGATAAAGTAATACTGGTTTTAAAACATAATCAACACTGAATTTTTAAAACTGAGAGTAAAAATCCTTTTGTATAGCGATGGTGATTTAAATATTTAAATATTAAATATTTAAATATTTAACCTAGGTCTTCACTGAGATATTCCTTAACAAGGTAAAATTGTTTCATTTCAGAGTCATTCCACTGTAATTCTTTTGAACATGCATAAACCAGAAATTAATTATCTTTTGATAGTTTGTTACCAAGGATGCCTGGACTATTAGATTACACTAGATACCTAATTTTTAGATGTCGACTATACAGAATAGTGTATCACAGTATAATAAAATTAATTTCATCTGTCCTTAAGCAAGTCTACTTTGTAATAGAATCATGTGATCAGTGGAGAAAATAAGCAGTTTTGCACTTCCTTTAAACAGTCTGACTTTTTAAATTTGCTTAAATGTGTAAGTCTTTTAGTAAGTTATTATCAATAAGCAACTTGGAGGGATACTATTTGAAGTACTACATATTTGAACAATGAAATATTTTTTTAATATATATATATATACACACTAATACAAACACTGAAACAGTAATGCTACAGTGTTTTGCTTGTAACAGCCTTTTGGTTCATAAATATAACTTCTAAATTGGACAAAAAAAGAATTGTCTGTAACCTTGTTCATATTGTTCTTGAGAGGTAAATGCATTTTAAGAAAACAATCTACTTGTGTTCTAGCTGTTAATCCTGGAATTTGGGGGACTTCTCAGAAAATAAAATGTCAAATATCTAGAAATATGATAAATGTCTTTACTAACATTAGAGGAAAATAACGCAAAATATTGCTTGAATATGTGGAAGGGAAATGAACATGTAACAAGCCAAAAAAAAAAAAATTAATGGATTTTTTTCAAAGACTGTGTGAGTTTTTCAAGGACAGCATCATGTGCCTCTAGCAGAAACAGTTTCCCATCCAGTGAAATGCACCAGTGTGCATGGTATCTTCACCTACCTAAAGGTAATATATGTTTAATAGACTTCTCCATACACTGCTCTTAAATTACAATGGCCAAGGTGAGGAGGTGCAAAAGTTAAAGCTGGAAAATAATACAACTGACATAATCATTTGACCTTTTTTTTTTTCTTCTTCTTCCAATAAACAGGTACACAAGGCTAAAATGAGTCCTTATAACTCAATTCTGTCAACAAAATAGAACTGCATGAGAACTTATTGGTTTTGTAACTGCCAGGAAAATACCTGAGATTTCTTATATCCTTTCTGCTGCTAAAAAGCAACTGTATATGTCATCTTTATAATAACTAGTATGCCCTAGGCTGAGCAGGGTTATGATAAAAGCTCCTGAATGTGGAAAGAAATCAATTTTGAAATCAAGGTGAGATGAAGGGAAAAAAAACTTTAGGTGAAATGACTATGTTTTTAGCATCTGTCAAGTTTTGACTAACGTTTGAAATGAAAATCTGCTTTATGAAATCTGACAAAATATCTTGAAAATGTTATAATTCTTATGAAGAAAGTACTTGTTTTGCCTTTAAAACAAATAGAAGATTGTACTTACCAACTTGTGAAGATGAGTGAGACGTAACATTATTTTATTTGAGAATCAGAGGAAATCTTTTAAAACTGTATGACCCTTAGAAGAAAGTAAACTGAAATACCTAACTACTACTGAGCAGTAGCATTAAGAAAACACGTATCTGCTACCTCCACTATATTTACATTATCTCAAAAATAAATTTTAAAAAATTATGTCTGGTTTGACAGGCTTCCAGGAACAAATTGGTACTGGAATAAAGCACATCCTACCAGGCTGCATCAGAATGACAAAATTACTCATTCCTGAAGAAGAAGAGACTCAAAAAGCACACTTTCAATATTTGCAGACAGAAAAACTTTCAGAGAGATATAAAATCACTCAAACTAACAGACCTCCTCATCACTTATTATTCTTTGTTTTCCTAAGATATTGAGGGGCTTTTATTTTTTTAAATGATGTATTATTTTGGAATAAAAAAACAGACACACTAAATAACATTCCTGCCATCTTATAACCTAATCAATCACTGCGAGGGCCATGAGAGTTTTTTCACATTTCAGTGGAGTTCACCAGTTAATTCACATGCACTCAATGTAAGTTAATAGTCTTACAAGTTTTGGTTTGTTAGTCCCAACTTTTAGTCTCAAAGCTAACTATTGACGAAGTACATCGTCCACAACTTTTGATACCATGGAAAAATATCTAGATGAAAGATACTATATATTGTCACTCTAATACTAGTACATAAAACAGCATAAGGATAGGTTTAGCTAATTTTTGCAGTCTCTCCTGAGAAAGAAAAATGCAACGGAGTATGGTTTGTCATCAATACTAGAAGGATTTTCTTCTCAGAGAATGAAAAATGAAATAAAAGATCCCTTCTGAGTACCAATAAGCAGAAGCAGTTGAAAATATCTCTTAAAGTCATCACTACTACTATTAATATACATTTAATTAGTTGAAAATTCTTGTTATTGTTTTTTATAAGTAGAGATCCACAAGCACTTATATTTTTTCAATTAAATATTGAATGCTAAGCTGGATTTAGCAGAAGAAATAACTGACATTTATTTAAGACCTTCTGAAAATAAATAACAAGATAAATTTTTTCACCTTATATGTTAAGATAAATCAATTACTCAAACATACCTACTTTAACTTTTGCAATCTGTACACATTTGGAGTGAATATTTTCCTTATTCTATTTAAGAGCATTCAGAAACAGAGAAAAAAAGTCAAACATTCATGAAAAATTTGAAGAATACCTTTAAACTGAGTGCTTTAATCACTTCATCTGTGCTGTACTGCCCTACTAGATATTCTTGGATTTGCAGAAAATCTACTTGCAAAATTCAGGGTACTGTAAATACAGTGTATCACCACATTAGGAAGTGGCAATTTTGACAAAGGAAGGAATTCATTGTACTGTGAATATCCATCACCTAAACAGTTCTTTATTTCTTCTTTGCTTAGCCATATTTTTAGAGTTAGAAAATAATTTAAACACAGTTTAATTTTGTGTTATAAAAGTATTTCAAGGAAAAAAATTTATCTCTACAATTTTTAGTTTGTGATACTGCAATGCATAATAGAGTCTCCAAAAATAACTTGAATGGGATGTGAAAAGAGTGGATTGTTGTGTTTGTGGCAATATATAATAGTACTGTAAACAAAAAGGGATTACAATAAATTTCAAAGAAATTGTCTTTAACACACCTTTATAGAATTTTTCAAGTAAGTACTAATTAGACATTTCTAGGCTTAAGAACATCTGCTCAAATTTACCATCACTAAGCTAAGAAAATAATGCTATCAGATATTATTTTGTATTTTAAAATATGCATTTATAATTTGATACCTTTCCACGTAGTCCAGCAGTCGAGAGCAGTGATTAGAAGCAGGAGCATCATGTCCTCCAACTGCATAAAGAAAGCCATCACAGGTAGCCACTCCTACACCTCCTCTTCTCTTACACATAGGAGCACACATATTCCATTTATTTGTGTGAGGATCATAATACTCCATTGAACTCAAACATGAACTTCCATCCCGACCTCCAACGGAATATAACCTAAGAAAGTCCACGCAAATAAAAATGTTGATAAAACAAGAGCAGAAGTAAAAATAATGAGTATCCGTTTTTTTTATTTGACATCAGAAAAGAGAAAAAAAAGAATACATAATATTTGAAATCATGTGAATCTCATATAGTGAAAAAACATGGATGTTTTCAGAATTATTACCAAACTCACGTGCTATTTAATGCTTTGTCCACCTGAAGAGAAAGGAAGATATTTCTTTCTGCTAATGAATATTTTTATTCTTTCATTATTGCATATTCAGTCAAGAGCACCACAAATGACATGCAAGTTTGTTTCTATAGGTTTAAAAACCATGTAAGCAGGGTTGCTACCTAAGTTCACCATCTATGAGATGGAAGTGGAAGTACAAACTTATAACTGGTAATCCAGACAAGGAAGAAATATCCAATTCATTTATTATATTTTCTCTTTATTTTTGCTGTGTAACAAAGTATTAAGAAGCACAAACAATATGGAAAACAAGATCTGATATTCAGCAAATTCCACATAAGGATCTATCAATGGGAACACATTTTCAGCATGAATTTTACACTTAGAATAAGCAGAGATCAAATATGAAATGTGTTGCAGATAGGACTATCACATTATATTTTAAACATGGATTTTTAAAAATTAATATCTTAGTTTCAAGGCTCTTGTTTACACTGAAGAAAATTCTTACCCAAACTAACAGCAACATGTCTACTTTGCAAGAAAGTTATAATTCCCAAGCACAGTGTGTTGTTTTTCTTCATCAGAATGTTTTATGAGGATAGAGTTATGTTGGAAAGTCATGGACAACTTCTGAAGAGTATTTGAAACTTGAAATTATAAAAATGTGGTTTAACAAAAAAGATGTTGTGTTTTAAGTATCTGCAGGCAAGCAGCTTGTTTAGTTCTACTGTTTATAATGGGTCCCAGGAGGAAATAGTTCTGATTGTTCTTTCCCCCTAATACCATGCTGCATTCATTCCGTATGAATCTTTTTGCAGTCTGTTGCCTTTTATATAGTGCCTGGAGATAAGCTAATAGAAACACAGGCTATTTTAAAGTCCAACCACTAAGCAATTTTGGATGTGAAAGCTGTCTCTGTAAAGCAATTACTCATTTGGAAGCTTTTACTGTCCTAAGCACTCCATGAATTCAGACCCATTTAAATACATTTGCCATTATATTTCATTGGTATGGATGCTGATGAATAAGGAAGTGCTGTACAACCACTAAATATGCCACTGAAGCCTGAGAACATTTTGGTAGTGCCTGACAGATGTACCTGTGCTCTGACTAAAGCACCCAGGAGAATCCATACTCCTCTGAGATATACTAAAGCAAATACACGTTTTTACATCTATTTATTTGGATCCAGACCTAACACATTAACCTTATTTATGATTATCAGATATCTACAGATGAAATCAATATTAAAGCATCTCTTAATCTGTGGATATCTACAATGTCCAACTTGCTTTTATAATCAGAGTAGACATTTGAGCCTACAGAACAGCACTAAAAATATTTAAACTTGTGACCAAAACCATTAACAATAATAAAAATGTAAATATAAACATTTACAAGTAGGTGTCTGCAAGGATCGTATCTTCATTTTCAAAGATGTAACTTGGTTCAGCTACCCACAGAGAGTGATAAAACATTTTTTGTGACACTTAAGATATGTTGACATTCCTTCCAGGCTGAGAGATATGGAAAATAGTACAGTACAAAAACCAGTAGAAAAAACCATGACTGCTAGCACTCTGAAGCCATTTAAATGTCAGTAGAAAACTACATGTCAGTAAGATAATTAATCCCCAAAAATAAAAACTATTATTAAGATTTCTGAGATGGTCAAATATGTTTCTAAGCAGATATTTGGACATGTAAACACTGAACACCCACTTAAAAAATGCAAAGAACCAGCACTTCTGCAGACTTCAGTGCAAATAATCTTGTGTACCCCTAGTCAAAATCCCCACTGCTTTGATATTTCTTCTGGCATGAAAAGTTTTTATTTATTCCACTGTCTTTCAACTGAAAAAAATCAATAAACTGGTATTTGCACTCTGAAAGTAAAACATACTTTCTCATTCCTCTATTCCAATTAAGACAGCTAATAAAATATAGCTGAAGGCACTCCTGAGTTGCTGGTAACAAGACAGCAAATGCTGTTTATAGGTAGCCAATAAAGTGGGATCACCTAATCTATTGCTAAAATACTTTCAACTATTCAGAATAAAATTAATTTTTAAAATCATATTTTAGAAGTAACATTTTAAAGTTTGATTGTGTTTCTATCTTCATTCTCTAATATATCATTAATATTTTTTTTTTTTAATTTCACAAGGGTAAAATAAAAATAGTTCAGACAAGAAAAAGTTGTAAATGAAGTCATTGCTTTAAAGCTCTGGTTGTTGCTGAGTTTGAACAATTCAGTCAGAAATTGCTTCCAGGCTACAGTCAAATTTCCAAATCCCCATTCACAAAGGCTGAAAATGAATGGGGAACAGCTCTGCAACAAGCATTGAACACTCAGGATACTGTACAGCTATCTGAAACTTTTGAAATACTTATAATTAAAGCTATTCAGTAGTCGTTCATCCTTTTTAGAGTTTAGGGTGTTATTTTATTAGATGACTTTAAATCAAACATTTTTTTCAGCTTTGTCTATCTTGTCATAAATTTGTAATAAAATTTCTATAGGGAAAAATATAATGTATTTTTCTGAATTATCTGAATTACTCTTCATGGTGTAGCCCATCAAAACTAGAATAATTATAAAAATAATAATTACATATCCCTGCTTAGAGAGTGAGACCAGCAAGGAAAAGAAAGCATCGAGTACTGAGCACTTTTATCTCCACAGTGAAAGTTCTGCCTGTGGAGATATTATAGATTTCTATTCCTAAATACTCTACATTTCAGCTGATTCAGACACTGTACGGATATGAAATTAGGCCAAGCTCAGCCTCTTCTGTCTTTTCAGGGTTTTGTCACTTCTTTTACTAAGATGGAGAGAGATTCCTGAACCTTTCTATATATATAACTATATGTATAATTGGCTAGAAAAATGAAGTAGAGGTTTCAAAGTAGGAACCATTAGGAGAAATCATGACCAGCTGGATCAAAAGCATTTATCTCAGTTCTGCCATTACAAACCTTTGATAACTACTCAGAAAAGCCAGTTCTAAATTCAGTTTGACAAGCCAACCTCAAAAGACCAGAATGTTTTGATGTGAGGTGGGTATGGCTTGTGAAACCAGTTGGATCATGCCCTTAATGCATTTCTTAATGAGGTTTTCCCTTTCAAAATTCTTTCACTACGAATATCAAAGACCTTATCCAATCTTTTACTTAGGCCCTTTTGTACCCTCTTCTGGCCTTTCAGTGTGTCTGAAAGGGCAGCGAAGGATTACTGTGACACAAAAGATATCTGCTTGGTAGAACTGAAGGACAGTAATAATTTTCATCGGTGCTGGACTACTGTATTGCTGAATCAGTCCATGCCTGGCCTAGGGATCAGGATTATAGAGAGAGATATGTATCCATGCTGCCTTGATTAAGCCAATGCAGTTTGCTAGCAAAAGTTGAAAATACAAAAATTTTGTGAATGGAAAACATTAATGAAGTCTTATTTCTATGTCTAAATTTGGAAGGGCATTTCGTATATTTGTAATGCAGTAGGGAAGTAAATTAAAAGTAGAATTTGACCCCCAAAAAATAGAAAAATATATAACTATAGAGTAAGTTTCTGGAATTAAATCAGTAGTAACTATTGGTTAGTTAGATGGGGGTCCTGAGAACTTAATCTAATGGCATGTGTTTCTGCCCATGAAAGGGGAGTTGGAACTAGATGATCTTTGAGATCCCTTCCAATGCAAGCTATTCGATGATTCTGTGACATAAAATATTGAGAGAAAAACACCCTTTGCATGGATAATATTGTTATGAAAAGTTTGAATTCCTACACTGGAAATTTTAGTTTCCTAATAGAAAGAATTTGTTTCAAGTAATTTTAATTGTAATCAGAATTACATGGGCTACATTCTCTATACAAGACCGTTGACTCAATGCAGATTCCACCAGTTAAAAAACATTCTTGACTTTATCAGGCTATAAAGTAGGTAAGGCAAAATTGTTTTTGTAAATTAATCATTTACTACAACAGGCACATGAGGCCCTTTATTTGCTCCATTATTATGACACACAGCAACACTGCCATTAAATAAGAATTTTTAGTGAATCCATAGAATTACTTTGTGCTAGATGGAGATGATATTTATGACACTAATTTTCTTTGTGAGTTTAATAATTTTAGACCATACAGTTGTTCCATGTTTTGCCTCAGTATCCATTTGTTTATTGATTTTGACTAAAATATTTAAAAATATCTACACTTTTTTTGTATTTTCCACAGTTGAGGAAGAATAAGTTCAATATGTGTCTCATTTTACCTATACTGGGCTACAGAAGAATTGTTTTTCTGAAAAAAAAAGAGTTTGATTTCAACCATAAGTTATTAAACACAATATTTATAAAGCAGCAGCAGCATAAAAAATGTCATAAAAAGAGGATTAAAATTAAGTTATAAAGCTATTTATAGGTCAATGTACATTTAGAATAAAACATAGTAAGAACAGAGACAAAATTTTCAACAAAAAAATTCTAAGGCTGGTAACTGGTGAGCTAGGCTTTGAAGCATGTTTGTTATTATTCCCATTTCAAAAGAGTTTCACAAAATTTGTTAATTGTTGTGGTGTGTTTTCTTTTTATTATTGTTTTCAATAGTTTGTTTTGTAACCCCCTTCCCTGAGGCATTGATTTAGTCCTTGCTGTCAGTCCTCCCTCATACCTACCCCTTATTCCAGAGAATTCTCTGTCATTTATGTATCCCTTGCTGGTCCATTGGTTTAGTCAGACTGGAACTCCCTATTGGTTTATGTTCATCCCCTGCCACTCTGCTATTGGTCCCTAGTCCCAAGGTCCATCCTAGTCC